TTCTTTACATGCTCAGTGGAAGGCATTAAGCACATGTAGTTCCCAGGTAGGGGTCATGGCCCTGTTTTATCTCCCTGGGATGTCATCTGTCTATGTTGCCTGGTTAGGGCATGACACAGTGCCCTTGCACATCCAAGTATTGTTAGCAGATTTGTACCTGATCATCCCACCCACCTTAAATCCCATCATTTATGGTATTAGGACCAAAAAAATACAGGAGAGAATGTGGAGATTGATGTTGTATATGTTCTTTAATCTCTCCAGTCGGCGTTCATGAACACAACAAACCTGTCCATATGTGTGTGTGTGTGTGTGTGCATATAAATATATGTACATATATTTGTATATATATATATTTATTTATTTTGTAAGTCGTGGTGCTGAACTCTGGGCTTGGGTGCTGTCAGCTCTTCAGCTCAAGGCTAGGGCCCTATCACTTGAGCCACAACACCACTTCTGGCTTTTATCTGGTTATGTAGGGCTGAGGAATCAAACCCAAGGCCTCATGGCATGCGAGGCAAACACTCTACCATTGAGCCAACTTCCCAGCCACTATTTATTTATTTATTTTTAGCTTTCTGACCAACTGCAAAACAAAAAAAGCTTATAGGTTTACAGAGCTGGAATGGCTTACTTGGTAGTGAAGTAAGAAACTCTGAGGTGAAACCGTAAGAGTATCCTTGAATAAACTTCACTTTTTAGCAGAAATGTGAACATATATGGGATGAATTGGATATTCTGACATTTTTTATGGCTTTATTTTGTATGTAAGAATCTGGATTGTGAATACTTAGGATTTTTGTTTATCTTCTCACCACATTTCTAGCATTGATATCCCTGCATGCTCTTTAAATATCTTCTTTCCCACCTCGATCTCTCCTGATTTTTGAGGAGGGGTAGTACAAAGGATTGAATCCATTGTCTAGTGTGTCTAGGCAGGTACTCATCATTTGAGCCACACCTCCAGCTTCTTTTTTTGTAATAGCCATTTTTGAGGTAGGGTCTTTATGGCTAGTCTGGCTTGGGCTGCAATCCTACTTGTTGCCGGGCATGACATAAGTACATGACACTGTCCCCAGTCATGTTGCTGGGATAACAGGCATGTGCACTGCACCCAGCTATTGGTTGAGATGGAGTCTCTTGAATTTTCCACCTGGGCTAGCCTCAAACTATAATCCCCTTAGTCCCCACCTCCTGAGTAGCCAGACTATACACTTGAGCTATTGTGCCCAGTCTTATCTACCTGATTTCCTATGGAGTACTCTGGTCATGAGATTTAATAGAAACTGTCAGTATGTGAGTCTGCTCTCTGGCTCATGAGTGAATCCACTGTCCTTTGGACATATGATTCAACCTGGACCAGACTCCTTTTTCCAGACAAAATGGCTTTTGGTTTATCTGAGACGATATAAAGCTTATTAGATGAACATGAAGGCAGAAACCTAGACTAAGCCTTTTATCTCTAGTTTTTAAGGTTTCTTTGGTCCTGTGGTTACAATTCACTTTGGATACCAAGACATATCCATGTTACTTAGATCTGTAGGACACTTCTTTTATGTTTGACTTATGCTCCCCTTTCCCCCCCCCCCCCTTTTGTTTCAACTCAGGACCTCATGCTCCAAGTGAACCTTTTTGCTTTATGGCTGAAGTTCTACCACTTGAGACAGCTTCACTTCTTGCTTTTTGCAGGCTATATGGAGAGGAGCCTCCAGGATTTGTCTGAGCTGGCTCAAAATCATGAGCCTCCTTGAGTTGGTAGGATTATAGGTCTAAACCACTGGCATATGGCTCATCCTTTATTGTTAAGCTAGTTGGATTTAAGTGTAAAGATGATCACCTATCTGTTTTCAAGCAACAGGAGCTAAGTCAACATGAGTTCATCTACTCTCTGTAGCTCAATCCTAACACACAATATGAAGACAGAGAGATTTAATACAACAGATTGTTTATTTTTCTCATGCTACAAAAATAGCCCTATATTATTAGGAAAATATAGTCAGAGCTACTTTCCTTAGGCTATACATAAAATCTTAACATCAGAGGCAGTACAGATAGTACAGATAGTTTTTAAACTGAATAAGCACCAATGCACCTATTTTAAGAAAAACCCAAGTAATTTGAGGCTTTTGGAGAACAACATGCATCAAAACAGCTGCAGACACTTTTCAGTAAGGTAAAAGGAATAAAATAAATATAAATCCTTTGGATAAATGTAAAAGAATTTAACAGAATTTTTAAAAATGAAGACACGAGTCAGGTATAACCTTTGTTTCTCAATGCTTATCTAAACTTTTATCAGACTACTGTGAATATTAAAACCCTATCTTTGACTCAGAATGTTAGCAATAATACTGATGCATTTGCAAAGATTTTTCCAACTGAATGCTTCTGGTCCAGAAAAATATTTTAGGTGTATTACTGATGGCAGACTGTGGTGTTAATATAATTAATGTCCTAAAATCTTCTGAAAAGTGACAGACCTCAAAGGCCCAGCTACTCATTTGTCCCGTTAAAATGAGCAATGTAAATAAGTAGCACTTTATGCAGTGGCAGCACAATTGAGTGGTATAATCACTGCATAAATACTATACCTTGAAGACCATCTACTCAAATCAAACAGATTCTTCTTGTGAGCACAACTCGGGGTGTGTGGTTGTATGAAAAGTTAATAGATAACAAAATAAAGAAGATGAAATGCAACTCTAGGTTCTCTAGTTTTTAAGTTACCCTTTCAGAATGTCTTAAATGGAGTAATCCTCATATAATGTTTTAAGGAAAGGACCTCATGTAAAAGACATATATTTGATTCTGATACATTTTGCAGTCTTAATAAGATGAATTCCTATTAGTGCTAGAATTCAAAATGAAAAAAGTAACCATGCTAACAGTTGATATATCTTAAGTCTTAACAGTTGCTTTCTACTGATGGTAGAAATAACATTAAATAGTATAGGATAGTGAAAAGTCAATAAGAAGTGGAAAAATACAACTCATCTGACATGGTGTATGTACTAAAAAATATATTTGAATTCTGTAACATTAGTTCTAGGTACTATTTAAACTGTAGTCCTGTATAAATTAGCATTAATATATCTCTGCCAAATTGTTCTGCTCCTTAATAATTCAGCATCTATACTTTCTACTGTTTGTTTACTTATCAAGAATATTTTCTATTTCAGAATTCTAGTACAGTAGGAATCAGGCTCTTAAAATTCTCACAAGGATGCAGGAAAGTCCCCCAAAACAGTTAAAACCTGGATTACACAAAGGTTAACGTTTTTTTTTTTCAGAAACAGCTACAATTTCTGAAAAACTTGAATTAAATATAACCATTAAATAGAATACATTAAATAATCTGATATAAAGGAAGCAAAAATTAGTGTAGCCTGAAGCCCAAACAGAAATTTCTTCCTCATAGTTTCATCAGGAAGGTTTCCTTGATGCCTATATGCTTCGTTCACATCAGCACCGCTTAAAATTATAGATTCATTCTTTATTGAATTATATACAATTCAAAGTATACTACTTCCTGGTCATGACCATGCCAAACTGAACAAAAATCCTAGCTTTCTTACATCCTATGCAGATATGGTACCTCTCCCATCATACAAAGTTCATTTAACCAGTGCATGGGACTCAGAATGGATTTTAAGAGCTATCAACCAATCTTGCTTGAAAAAGGTGGGACTATACTTCCTGGGTGAGTTCTCATACACAGGATTTGCTCTTCTTTCTCCTTCTTTTGCAGGACTCAACCATTTTATACTTTTTGTATGTATTCCCTTCAAGGCTCAGGTATTGCATTCCGTAGTCTATAGTAAAGTAAGTTTGTGCAGAAGCAGTTTGAGAAGTCACCCTGGATGTTACATATGTTATTGAAGGAAGTTTTCCTTCAAAATGACTACTTCCCTCCTCTCGCTATGGATCAATGTGAAAATCATAATGAAAGAAATTATCCTTCAGAGTAGTTGTTGAGCAGTAGAATTCAGTTCTATGCAGTTTTAATACCTCTCTAAGGCAGAAAAAATGTTTTGATTCTCGACATCCAAATAAGTTCCCTTACTCAAAGACTCAATAAACACCCTCTCCCCCAACCCCACCACACACAAATGCACATGCACAATTAGACTAAGCTACAACAATCAATCAAATAAACTTTTGCCTTTGGAGTTCTTAGAAAGGAAGCATGAGCAACTACTTTATAGAGAAGGGTTTTCATCCATGTGTAAACTTCAATCTTTGCTGTTAAAAATTAAGACAATATGAAACAAGCATTTAGTCAAATAATGACGTTATTTATTTCTTGAAATAATTATTACACTCAAATCAGCCAAAAAATTGTAAACAAACCCCAAACAGTACATTACATTTGAGGCTAGTTAACTACTTAATGCATTCCAAGTTTGAATGTATTTATCATCCGATAATCTTCTTTAAGAACTTTCTAATATTTGCTTGGCTTAATAAAAAGATCATAGTAAAATAGCAATATCAATTTGCTCCCATTCTCCTCTACTAAGTGTCCAAGAATATAATTGGAAGTGCTTCCTAAGAATCTATTTCTCAACTCTTATTTCCCATGAAATCCTCATACAAAGACAAACAAGTCTCTCTAATGTAAAACAGTTCACTTCTTTGCCAGGATAGGGCCTTGACTGATCAGCTCATTTCCCCTGCACACTGCTGAAAGAAATGTGTCTCCTACTGCTCATTTTCAAGAAGCATTTTGGAGGCATGTTATGAAGAATGAGTTTATTTTTCTATTTTGGCTTGTTTTACCACCATCATATATAAACAGCAGAAACAATTAAAATATAAGAACTTTTTTTTTTTGTGCTGGTATTAGGGCTTGAACTCAGGGCCTAGGCAGTGTCCCTGAGGTTTTTTTTTCTTTTCTTTTTTTCCTGCTTAAGGCTAGCACTGTACCACTTGAGCCACAGCTCTAGCTTTTTGGTGGTTAATTGGTGAACAGTCTCATGGACTGTCCTGCCTGAGCTGGCTTTGAACTGTGATCCTCAGATCTCAGCATTCTGAGTAGCTAGGATTATAGGCGTGAGCCACTGGAGCCTGGCTGGGACAATTTTTAGTCGTCCTTATTACAGCCAATTGGAAGGCACTTTGCATTTGTGTATAAATAACCTAGAATCTATTTGGTTGATCAACTCTAACCTAATAATCACTACCTTCAAAAATAAATCGCACCAGAGGTTGTGTTATATGTCATCATGGAGCGACATGCAGTTTGATCTTGGCAATAGGGACAGCCATGAGTTCTCGTGTTTGTTTCTAGTCTTAATCAATCCCATAGTATAGTCTTACGAGTAACAGTGAATTACTTTTATACAATCATCCCTGACATGCACAGCCATTACTTTAAGGTCAATAGACCAATATGAATCTTAATTTCCTCCCATTACAGTATGACTTCCAAACTGATTTTCTGTGTCTAATTCTGTTATTTCTGCCCATATCTCCCTTTCCTATTGGTAGGAAAATAGTTACAATAACCATAAAGGTTTTCTTTGTGGCATAAGAAAAAAAATCTAAAATTTTGCCAATCTAAGTGGTGGGGAAGCCTTTCTTCCTGTTTGCTTGTTTTTACCTATTTTATTATCCTTACTTTCTGACTTGAGGCCACACGTCCCATTCAAGTTCAGAAACAAGCATATTTATTATTCCAATGCACAGTATACTACTCTATTCCAATGGCATGGACTCTTTTTAATCTTAAGGGCTCTAGGCTGTCTGGAGAGGCTGGAAAGAACCAGGTTACTGCAGTGAAGGAGCTGGCTATACGTGATAGGTTGCACGTGAAGACTCGGTGGTTCTCCTTCCTCTAGCCTTGAGAAAAGACCTAAGGTGTGAGATGGATCTTGGATTTTTGAAACAACTCTGGGAGGTAGTAGAATATGTCTTTTTAAGAGCAATTGCACCCATTTTTCTCAAACATATGAGGTGCTTCAGATGCAAATGTAATAAGTGATATGTAGATATGTGTGAGATACATCAGAGGAGTTTGTCACTAGTGTTTGATTTGAATGTGAAAATCATTTTACAATATTTTTTATATCCTTACCTTCCAGAGCTGTGTAACAAAGAATTTGCTTCATTAAGGCCATTTTGTGTTACTTATTCATAGAGTGAAAACAAGAACCAAGGCTCACAAGCTTCCTGATCATACCAATTAGCAAAAAGTCAGGTCTGGAACACTGGTCTCCTTAGAGCCTAAGGGACAGTGCTTTGTCCCACTTATACTCAGGGAGGTGTAGTGGGTGCTCTGCGCAAGTCATGTTTTCTTGCTGCCTGGCATTCCTCTAGTCAGGAAAAAGGACTGGGTCAACTGTATAGTTCGCTTGCACCAGCAAACCTGAATTAAAGCATCTGCCAACTAACTCTGGGGCTTTGCTTTCCTATGAGTAGCTTAGTCACAGATTTTGGCCTTGTAACAAGAAACTTCGGGGTCAGGCAGAAAAAAAAAATAAAAATCCCTGGATTCTAAGCTTGGTTCACGGGTACATGTCAGTGGCCGGTCCTCCTGTTCTTATGTGCTAGACTAAATTTCCAGCTCTGGTTGGGTTGGTGGCACTGCTAGTCCTCCCCATCCAATGAGCAGATGGTGAGAGGAGCAGTGTTGTTAGCACCAATGCTGTAGCAAGGACTAAAGTAGGGCAGGAGGCGCCCAGAGAAGGGCTGGCGGGGGAAAGTGAAAATGTGAGAGCAATTGTCAGTCACATTGTAGAAGGAGATATCATGGGCCTCATAATCTAGGAAGATTCCTACCCGGCGTGGAGGCACTGGCAAGGACAGGAGTGGGTACTCATTGGTGCCTGCCCTGTACTCAGTTCCCTTTCTCAGCCTTATCACCCAGAATCCATAGTCAGGGGACAAATAGACCACCTCTTTCCGGTCTACATTTTCCTTACACACTCCCAGGCCCCATTCAGACCTGTTTCCCACCTCTACCTCCCAGTAGTGTCGGCCTGAGGAGATGCACTGACTTCCCAGGACAATATTGTAACGGTAAAATCTCTCAGGGTTATCCGGCAGTTTCTGCTGAATGTCTCCATAGTGCACACATTTTCTATCCTCTGACACGATGAGGCGGGAGTAAGCTGTATCTGGATCTAGGCGCACATCAGCTAGGGAAAAAGATCTTGGTTGGTAACACCAATAAAGAACAAGGGGATCTGGGGGAATTCTTTTTGGTGCCAGTGACGGATGGGAGTGGGGTGGGGCCAGATGAGGCATCCAGAGGGCACTGAGCTGTTTTGTTTCAGTGGGAAGTCCCTCCCGCTGCCCATCACAGTCTCTCCCAGTATCAATTACCTGCATAGGTCTTCAGGATCTTTCTTAGCCCCAGCACACAGCAATTGGTCCTCAGCTCGAGAGAGACTGGTTCTGGCCGCTGAAGGCTCCAAGACTTGCTCCTGGCAGAGGAGAGAGGAGTGCTGACTTTGCCCATGGGCAGAGTATGGGGAAGAAGGGCTTGGCCAGAGACTATTAGTGGGTGTCCTTGCCATTACTGACAGACATGTAATAAGGGGTTGGCAGTTTGGCTCAGCCTCAAACTGTTTTGTGCAGCTCCCCCCCCGCCCCACCATGCTGTAGGAAGAGTTAAGTGTACATCTGGGAAAGGAAGCAATGTGCTATAAAGGAGAAAGGTTAAATACTCAGAGTGGGCAAGACCATCTTCTTTCCTTTCCTCTTACAACTGTCTACTTGAAACCACATGTTTTATAATCTTTACTTGAAATTTTTACTGGTAATACAAAAAAAAATATGAACGTGATTAACGGAAGAAAAAGGAAAGATGAAAATGGATAAAGCTTCTTTGGCCAATATCATGTAAGAGGCAGGAGTCTGTAGAGAAACATTCTTCCTGTGGGTGGCAGTCTAGGCTCTTTCCCCATCTCTGGCTGGACACCTCTACCATCTATAAGGGCTGCCTAGAAGCTCCAAGGACTGGCACATACCTGTTTAAGACTTCATGAATATCCTAGGAGAAAAAAAAATAACAGCATATGAGTATGTGCTGTCTCAGGGGAACTAGACAGACAGTGACTTTGGGAGGGGATTTTCAAAGTGAGATAGATACCAAGGCAGGGGGGAAAAGCTGTTCAGGGCCACAGGGAGAGCTTTTGAGAGGGCAGCTGAATGCAATCAACTGCACTAGCTGCCGCCAAGCTCCATCTCCTGACTCCCAGGATGGAAGGAAGGGGCTGGAATGATGCCACACTGCCTGTGTCCCTGCTGTGCTATTCCTAGCTAAGTGAACGACCTGGCCTCCAGGCAGGGGAGGAGCACAGCAATTATTAGCTGGAGCATACAGCTAGCAGGCAGAGTGATGATAAGAAGACCGGGTGTTCTTGTCTGGAATCTCACTCATTCTAACTTTAGCTTTCCCTCAGGCTTTCCAGGAAAGGCTGCCACTCACCTGAAGCATCCAGCGGGCAGGCCTCTGTGATCTCTCTTCTAGCTCCACAATCATCCTCCACAGGGTTTGGCTCTGCTGGATGAGCTTCAAGTGATTCAACTCCAGTTTGTGTTCTGTCTCCTCCTTCTCTAGCTCCAGGCTGGCCAGAGCTGCCACTGCCTCCACCTCTATGTACTGAACAGGTAGGTTGTTTTTTTCTAGCAATTGCTGGCATTTCTCAAACTCCCATATGATACTCTGCTTTCGAGTTTCCACTTGAATCTGAAGAGTTAAGACTGGAGTCAGTACTGATATTGAGTATAAGGATCACTGGGGATTAAAGATAATGACGTGTGCATTATCCATATATTCTGTAAATGTTTGATACTGTTCAATCTTTTGATCTAACCAGTTACTAGGAGCTACAGAAGCAAAGACAAGGGATAGTTTTTTCTTACTTTTCTTTCCCATAGCTCCTAGGTATTATCCTGGGACTCTTTTTCAGGCTAAGTATAACCATGTCCAAAATACTTCGGAGGTGACTTTCTAATATTTTAATATCTGAGCTCAGCAACTATATTTGAACTTAGGAAAGCAACAGAAACTATGCCTCACTAGCATTCTACAAGTTGCACTAAGTGAATGTGTACATAAGGCATATATTTTTCTTCTTTACATATGAGGACATTAGGTCAGAGAATATGGCATATGGCTTTATCATGATCTTTTTTTTCTTTTTTGACAGTACTGGAATTTGAACCCAGGGCTTCACACTTGCTAGACAGGCACTTTACTGCTTGAGCCATACCTCCAACCCTCCCTTACAATCAAGACATTGCAATGGCACTAGGCATAGTGGCTCAAGCCTGTAATCCAGCTATTTGGAGAGTGGAGATTGGGAGAATAGTGGTTTTAGGTCATTTTGGGCAAAAAGCTAATGAGTTTCAACCTCTAAACGGGGCCAATTATTCCAGTTATGTGGAAGGTTTAAATAGGAAGATTAGGGACCAAGTAGACCCTGATTAAAAAGATTATATTTGAAAAAAAAAATAACTAAAGTGAAAAGGGGCTGGGGCCATGCCTCCAATGGAAGAGCATATCCCCAGCAAATGTAAGGTACTGAGTTCAAGCTCCAGTTCTTTGTGTGTGCCACCAAAAAAAAAAGGGCAAGTTGGCATGGAGAAGTTTTAGGCCCGAGATATGTAAAAACAAAGCTGGTATTAGGATCTCAGAGTCCCTGACCCCAATCCTGCTTGGCAGAGATAAGGAAACTACCAGTATCAGTTCCCAAACAACACAGAGGCAACATAAACTCCTTTTGGAGGTGACAACTTGCCTTCCAGTTGGCAGTTCGTTTCCTCTCACTAACTTCTAGCTTCCAGGCTTCTTCTTGTTCTTTTCTTAGATGTTCCAGAGCCTCATGGAGTTTCCACTGCAAGAAACGTATTAAAAATCTCATGAGGTCACCTCAGGCAGCCCAGGTTGGTAAATATAGGTGTCCTAACATTAGCAGATGACAGGAAAACCAGTGTCCTTCAGGCAGTAGACTGGTCCATGCTAGGAGGACTGCTCCAGAGGAAACAGGGTCCACCCAGATGATACTCTTGGTAGCTCTAGGGCTGAAAATCCATGTTAACTCCTATAGTACCTAAGTGTTTGTAAAGTAGAAGAAAAGATCTACCTTCAAGCTTTCTAATAAATTAAGGAAAAAACCAACAGACCTTCCTGTCTATGTCCATTTTTTTTTCTTTTCTATCTTGTTCTCTATGGTCTCTCAGAACCTTCTATTAAAAGTGTGGCTCAGGATCAGCAGCATCAGTACTGTCTGAAAGCTTGTTAAAAAGGCAGAATGTTGGGCTTCCCTCCAAACCTATCAAATGAGAATTTGATTTTGACCAACATCCTTGGGTAGTTCATGTGTTCATTAAAAGAAGCACTTTCCTAGGTTAGCAATACAGTCAATTTCCACTGGGAAGCATAACACAATGTGTTCTGATACTACTTTTAATTCTGATTATCCTATTTGTTAAAGATTTATCAAGTGCACTAAATATGCCTGGATACTTTCGGTCCCTTGATAGTGGTGTGGAAAACATTCAGTCAGATAGCTAGTAAGCGGGTGGAATTTAACCCAGTTCATAACTCTTATGTTTTAATGTTACACTATTTCCCTATTCTAATAGTCTCAAAACAAAATGTGCAAGCAGGTATGTTTAATGTTTTAGGAATTAATCACAGCACTTGTTAATTCACAGGACTTGTCTTACATTCTTACCCTTTAATCTTGATACCAAGAAAGAAAATTAAGACCAGAAAAGGATTAATTGCCAAATCATTGGGATAATGGAGTTGATGGGATGGTTGGAAGCTGACAGGGTGTGTATGGGAAAGGAACTGAAGGTACAACAGAGATGGCACATCCTAGAGGGCAAGGGGACCAAGAGGAGTTATAAAACAACAAAATCCAAAACACAAGCCCTGCCATGATCAAGAACTAAAGTCCAAACCTTTCATCTTCTTTTAACTCATTTACTCTAATCAGAACAAGACTACCGATATATATTAATGCATGTTTAGTGCTTAAGCATATCCTAGTACTTGGCAAGTTATTCCTAAGTGATTGGTCCACAATCCTTTTCAATGATTATGATCTCCAAATTCTAAGCTTCAGTTTTATCTAGAAAATGTCACCTTCATTTTCACTGACCTAAGGTTCACAGGTTCTGATAGATGCAGCCTGGACTGATACTCTTAGCTAAACTCATCCATTCACCTCTAACCAAAACAAAAATTGCCCTCCTTCCTATTTTCAATACTGAAGTCATCTCTTTATTAGGTAAATTGGGCTTGGAGAGAAAGAAATTCTAGGTCATGAATAAAAGCAAAAGTATTGAACAGTGCATTAGCTCTCAGGATCTGTGAGTGTCATGAACCAGAGGAGTCATCTTAAGTCTCTGGCAGTCAGGACCTTAATGTACAAATGACCAAGTGAAGGGCAGAGGAAAGACTTGAATGGCTGGGTTCTATCTCCCACCTTATACTCCCAAGCAACATCTTCCATGGGCAGCACAGAGTGGGCCTCATGCTCTGGGGATTGGCTGCAACTCTTACACATCATGGCGCCATCCTCTTGGCAGAACATCTTTAGTTGTTCCCCATGGAGCTCACACACATCACTCTTTAGTCCCATTTCTGGACATGGCCCTAGTTGTCGGACTTTTTCTACAACATTGGCTAGCTGCCAATTAGGCCTCAGATTCTTTGGCTGCACAGGAGCTCTACAGAGAGGACAGGTATAACCCCAGTTCTGGGATTCTCCTGGGACCTTCCAGAGGCCAGAGAGACAGCTGTGGCAGAAAGTGTGGCCACAGTCGATGCTCATGGGATCCTTCAGGAAGGTCATGCAGATGGGGCAGGCCACTTCTTCTACAATGGCTTCCACCAAGGCTTTAGGATCCATGCTTTCTTCTCACGTAAGATAAAACCACAAAGAAGTATTGAAGGCTGCAAAGAGTAAAAGAAAACAAGAGAAAAATGTAACAGGAGAACAGAGAGATCAATAAATAGTGACTGCAAAACAAAAAACATTCCTATTGGATCTTTATTGAGCTTAAGCTTAATCAAGCATTATTATTAAGCCTTTTCAACTACTATTAAACATTCTGACTGGCCACATCACTCATAACACAGAAAGGATATACCAGATTGGGAGTGATTTGGCCTAAATGAATAGATTTGGGGTATTCTCAGTTCTTATTTATTTAACCAACTCTGATTCTGCTCTGGTCTGCTCTATCAGACCATCCCCACTTTTTGATTATGATCTATAATCAGCACAGTTTTTTTTTTCTCGAACTAGAGGAAGTCACATGAAATGTGGTGTTTTCAATACCCAGAATAAGGTCTAGCCTCACTCTCTGGCATAAGAATACACATATACTTTGTGGTGCAAAAAGCCATATGCCAATGCCCACTGCCTAAATGCTCAATTTGTTTTCTTATGCTGTACACTGAGATGTAAAAATGTAAGAGAAACAGCAGTTCCCTTGCATTCTCTTGTGCCCTGCAAACATCCGCCTACTTCTCCAGCACTAATATGCTTATTTAACATCCAGGACCCTCTCTCCAGATTGTAGTGATGTATTAGAAGCAGATACGAACTGATAAACCTTGGAAGATAATGTGCTGATGACCAAGCCCATATTGATGAATTCATTATTCCAGAAAGAAACAGTTGAGACTTTTGCCAGGGCCTTGATGGGTATGGAGCTTGAATAGTTAATACCAGGCTCTGGCTCACTTGGAAGTATTTATTCATTCACTTTGCAGGTCTGTGTTTCTAGATAAGAGTCTGTAAAGGGAAAAGCCATGTTGGTTTAGTACTGTTATCCATAACAACTAAATAGAAGCTGTCATGCAGATACTGGCTGAATAAATTTGACAAATAAACAAACCAGGAAGGCATAGGAAAGTTTCTAAACTCAACATGCGTTTAAATTTTGTTAGCTAATTGACAGCATAAATCCGTAATAATAATAGCAAATATTCCTTGAGTACTTACAATGTATACCAGTTCTGCATATTTTACATCAATGAACTTAGCTTATTTCATAATTCTCTCAATTCTCAGTCTACAGATGGGGTTCCACCATTCTATTTTAGGCAAAATATCTAAGCTGTTCAGCTTCAAAATATAACACAAATTCAAGAAAAGAGAAGAAATCATTATGATTTGGGTCATCCAGAGTGGCTTCCTAGAGGAAGCAGAGCAGTAGTAAATATTACAAGTGCTTTGTTACAGGCCATCTGCAGGTCAAGCCTTTTGTTTTTCCTTCTTCTACCATCACTGCCAAACTGTGGGATCCAGTATCTTAAAACCCCATTTTGATAAAGCACTAAACTCAAGAGTCTATTTTCTGGCTCCCCAGCACCAAGTTTAAGCTCCATACAACCTATATAATAATGAGGTAGATGGGTGGGGTTGAGATAAATTATGGGGAGGGGGGGAAGAGGATGATGCATGAGTTGACACTAATAAAAACACAATGTACTCATAAATGGACATGCTGAGTTGAAGTCCTTTTTGTACAACTACGTAAATACAAAAAAATTCTAAAAACAGGGTGGAAGCACATCATTGTGATACAGGGCCATGTACTACTGAAACATAAGAGTTAAAGGTTAAAAAGAAGTAAAAAGAGATATTGCTCTTCAATGGAAGACCCGTTTTAATGTTCTCATTTATACATAAAATGACTTGGACAAACCTTGGATGATTAAACATTTTTAGAGGCCATGAAGGTACCTCTGGGCAGAAGCGGAGAGGCAATCTGGGAAAGACTTTTGAGGGGACAGGGTGGGTGGGTGCCTGTTAATAAGAGACTCGGGGTGCACCTGAGGGGGGAAAGAGGAGGAAGGGGGGGAGGGGGCAGGGGAAAAAGGCAGAGGGGAGGGGCTGGGTGGCATTTGTGAATGACTCTGGGCTCACCAAAGGAAGAGGGGGAGGGGAAGAGGAGGAGGGGGACGGGAAGGGGAGGGGCCAGAGGACGATCTAGAGGTGGGGGGGGGGAAGGGGCAAGGAGAGGGGCGGGGGCATGAAGAGAGGAGTCCGTTATCAGTTTGGAAAAGCCTTTTGGGGGAGATAGGCCAGGCCGGGCACCTGTTAGGGGCTCCTGGCGAGCCTGAGGGGGAGAAAGGAAGACAGGGGGGAAGATTGGGGAGCCAGTTTGGAAAAGACTTGGGAGGGGCCGCGATGGTTCTTGCGAAGGCCTCGGGGCGCCCCGGAGGGGAAGGGGGGAGCGGGAGAGGAGGAGGGAGCGGTGACCCCGGGGTTGCGGGCGGGGGGTGGGGGCCTTGGGGCCTGGGGCACGGGGAGGCCCGAGGGGAGGAGGGCGGCGCGGCGGAAAACCGAAGCAGAGACGCCTGGCGGCTGAGGCTCCGGCGTCAGAAGCGACGCGGCGTCTCCACGGCACAAGGCACTTACCCGGCCGCCCGGCGCCCGAGGCCTGGGACCCAATCCCGGGAGGAAGGCCTACAAGTCGAGGGCTCCGCGGTGGCGGCGATCCCCCTCCGCGCGCCAGACTCCGCCGTAAGTCCCGCCTACAGCGCCGGAGTCAATGAGCGGAGGCGACTTCCAGCCGCCGGGGCCGCCTCGCTGGTGACGTACAGGAGGAGCAGCCAATCACCGACAGGGATCGGGACTGCCCTAGCCTATCGGAGATCGAGGCTGGAGCTCCGCTCGCCTGTAGGGCGTGTCAAAGTTATTTTGTCTGCTTGGCTTAGCGAAGGTTCCGGCTGGGAGTGGCTTAATGGAGGCTGGGGGGGGGGGCGGTTCTCCAGTCACGCAGGCCTTGCAGTCGGAGGGCTCTGTTAGCCATCGCCCGGGGCTCACTCCTATAATTCTAGCTAACTCAGGAAGCTGGGATCGGACGCTCGCAGCCCCAAATCAGCCCGTACAGGAAAAGTCCCTGAGACTCTTTTATCTCCAGTTGAACCACCCAAAAACCTGGACGTGGAGCTGTGGCTCAAGGGGTAGAGCCCTAGAAAACGACCCCTCACCCTCCCAAGATAAAAATGCAGTTATCGGTTCATTGGCATTTTCCAGCTTCAATTTAGTGACAAGACTTGGTTCTGTGACCTCAGGGACAGGCTGAGACCCCCCACAGGCAGTAGATTTTTTTTTTTTAAATTTATTTTAGTTTTTGGTACCAGGACTGGGGCATGAAGTCAGGGCCTAGCTGCTGTTGCTTAGCTTTTATTGCTCAAGGCTAGAGTTCTGTCACTTAAATTATAGCTCTTCCACTTCTGGCTTTTGGGTGGATAATTGGAGATAAGAATCTCACAGACTTTCTTTCTTGCCTGGGCTGGCTTCCAGCTGCGATCCCCAGATCCTAGCCTTCTGAGATTATAAGTGAGCCACTGGCGCCCTGCAGCAGTACACTGTTTCTCCACTATCTCCCCATCCAGGCACTAGGTCCTGGGTTCTCACGGAAAAACTTTCCTAGGCTTCCTAGCCGACTTTCACAAGCATCTTTGCGTCACTCTTGTGATGAACCAGTTTTGGATATTGGGCTATGATGGAGAAGTAGAATCCTTGGTCATAAATCATCATTTTATTATTTGTTTGTTTATTTGCTGATCCTGGGGCCTGAACTGAGGATCTGGGTGCTGGCCTTGAGCTTTTATGTTCAAAGTTCGTGCTCAACCACTTGGGTCACACCTCTACTTCCATTAAAAAAACCCCCAAACCATTGTCTTTTTCACACACATACACCCTTATCCAAATACAGACACACATATCACACACATGCATGCACACACCACACACAAACTCATACACCACACACATGCTGGGGCGAGGATCTAGATTGCTCTTTATACAACCAGGGCTTTGTCTTTTTTTTCTTTCTTTTTCTGATATTTAGACTTTTGTCAAGTAAGTGAAGGCATAGACTGTTCTCATGAAAGCAGCCAAAAATCCTCTAATTGAAATCAAGTTTCAAGTAGTATCTTCATTGTTAGAACCGACACTCTAGATCCTCCTGCCAACATCAGAGTCCAGGTCAAGCTTAAAATTATGAAGAACCATGCCTAAAATATCCTGAGATAAATGGGATCACAAACATAGAAAGAATAAATGTACCTGATGTCTAAGCTGGATTGTGTGCTTCATCTGGTTGGAAAGAAAGAACAGTCCTAATGGGATAGTTAATCATTTAATAGAACCAGACACAGTAAACATTTGTTGAGCATCAGTACAGAGAATACTGGAATTATAACTATGGTTCATGTAAACAGTGCTTTTAAAGAACTCAAAGTTGATTGTACTTCTGTAAAGTTTCTATAAAGTTAAAAGAATTAAGAAAAGTAGAGAGCTAAGGGAACCCCTGAACCTCATAATTATAGAAGGAGTCCAGAGATGAACACCATTATGTGCCATACAACTGTCCTGCTAAAGCGACTTCTGATTTTTCTTCTCTCACACCTTGTGAAGAAGTATGAGCCACAGCCTAAGTTTCATATAATCTTAGGCATGAACTTTTAAAGTTGATCAACAGAAATTGCTAGAGGTAGAATGAGGAGGCTGAGAGGAATTGAAGCCAGTGGCAGCTAAGCTCGCTTCACCTTAAAATTATCTTCGAGATCGCCATCTCTCATGATGATGTTAATATTTACTGTTCTTCACCTATTTCAAAAAGTCTTCAATGTGCAAAAGGCAAGCCTGACACTCTCCAGGGTTCCAAGTAGGGGAAGTTAGAGTACCTCTCTTTTCTGTTTATTCAGTGCTAGCCCCAGCCAAGAGAGAACAAATCTCATTCCAGAGCAGCAAAACTCCTAGACTTTGTTTGACTCTAATGTGAGATGAGGGGATCAGGGATTGAAGAGGATGTGAGTCTAGACCTAAGACCTATGATTCTGTCTAGAAGAGGTAAAGGGCCTTTCTGAAAGTGCTCCTGGCCTTGGAGGTAAGGTGTCACTAAGAATTTGTATTAGGAGCCAAGCACTGGTGGCTCATACATGTAATCCCAGTGACTCAGGAGGCTGAGATCTTAGATTTGTTTAAACTTTAAATCTCTTGGTAAATTATCTTAAACTTTAAATCTCTCAGTGAATTGCCTTTCTACAAGCAGCAATGTATTTATGATTATGAATATATTGTTTAACTTTAAAAATAATTTTGACAAGTTCCATGATCTGTTTTCATATATGTATTTAAAGTGCTTGCACTTCATATTCACTTAATCTTCTTTCTCCCTCCCCATTCCATCCATTTTTCAGTTGATGAGAACTTAGGTTGACTGCATATTTTGACTATTGTGAACAGTGCTACAATAAACATGGATGTGTAAGTACCTTAATTGCTTGTTGACCTGCTTTCCTGCATCAGCATCTGTTTGGGGCTCCTAGGTAAAAAATCAGATGGGTATAGCTATTTGGGGGCTTATTTTTGGATTCTTAAAGTTCTCTTCTGTTGATCTGAAAGCCCATGGATTGGGAGAAGATCTTTACTAGTCATACAACAGACAAGGGTCTCATATCTAAAATATACTTAGAACTCAAAAAACTAAATCCTCCAACAACAAATCCTCAAAAAAACAACTGCCCCATTAATAAGTAGGCTACAGACTTAAACAGAGACTTCTCTGAAGAGGAGATAAGAATGGCCAGTAGACACATGAAGAAATGCTCAACTTCCCTAGACATAAAAGAAATGCAAATCAAAACAGCATTGAGATTCCACCTCACCCCAGTTAGAATGGCTATAATCAAGAAATTTAATAACAACGGATGCTGGAGGGGCTGTGGCCAAAAGGGAACCCTACTGCATTGTTGGTGGGAATATAAACTTGTTTAACCACTCTGGAAAGCAGTATGGAGGTTCCTCAAAAGACTATAAAGAGAGATACCCTATGACCCAGCAATCCCACTTTTGGACATTTACCTAAATGATCACAAACAAGGCTATACTAAAGCTAACAGCACAACTATGTTTATCGCAGCATTATTCATCATAGCTGAGATATGGAACCAACCCAGATGCCCCTCAGTAGATGAATGGATCAAGAAAATGTGGTATATTTATACAATGGAAATCTATGCCTCCATCAGAAAGAATGACATCATCCCATTTGTTAGGAAATGGAAAGACTTGGAAAAAATTATACTAAGTGAAGTAAGCCAGGCTCAAAGAAACATAGGTCCCATGGTTTCCCTTATTTGCAATAACTAGTATATTTCAAGCAGAAAAGGTCAAAAGGTATGTACATATGACCATATAAAATGATGTTAAGTGAAATGAACCCCAAGATAGGGACACAAGTAGTTTTTTTCTTTCTTGCTATTGTTTTTAACCTATTTAAAATGTACTATGTGATTTTTTTTGTCTTGTATGTTCTTCCTCCATGGTATAACCCCTGTTTTCACTGTATTTGATGTTGGTGCCCTGCATCTTGTATATACATTTTTCTAATTTGGGGAGGGGAAGGGAAATAACAAAATGCTGAAATAAGGATACAAGATGAACCATTGTAACAATGAGATGTACAAGACACCATGTTGAAAATGAACTTTACAACTTGGGGGGAGGGAAGGGAGGAGTTGTGGAGGTGAGGAGGGAAGGGATGGTAGGGGAAAAACAAAGGAGGAGGTAACAATGCTCAATAGGAAATGGACTCATTACCTTACACATGTAACTGTAATTGCTCCATACAGTATTTTTACAATAAAAACATAAAAATAACAAAAGGAAAAAAAATTCTCTTCTATCGATCTATGTGCCTAGATGGTATGGTGTGTATTTGTGTGTGTGTGTGTGTGTGTGTGTGTGTGTGTGTGTGTGTGTACTGGTCTAGGGCTTAAACTCAATTTTTTTTTCTCACGGGTGTTGTCACTCTACCACTTACATCCTACTTCTAATCTAGCATTTTGCTGCTTAATTGGAGATAGAGTCCTGAAGACTTTTCTCCCCAAACTGGCTTTGAGCATCAATTCTGTACGTCTCAGCCTCCTGAGTAGACAGAATTATAGGTTTAAACTATTGGCAGCTGGCTTACATGCTGTGTGTGTGTGTGTGTGTGTGTGTGTGTGTGTGTGTGTATTTCTACCAATACTATTTTGTTTTTGTTACTATGACCCTGTAATATAATATTGTGATACTTCCAGCACTGCTCATTTTTTTTCAAGATTGACTATTCAAGATCTGTTGTGCTTCAAATAAGTTTTAGATTTGATTTTTCTATTTCTGTGAAAATTGAAAATTTGATAGGAATTTTATTGCATCTATAGATTGCTTTCAGTAGTATAGCCAATTTCTCAATGTTAATTCTACTGACACATACATTGGTATTTCCTGACTGAAAAAATGGTGGCATTAGGCAGCTGCAAATGAACTGTGGATGCTCATAGTAGTAGGAGAACATTCTCCAGTATACAGTTTCTTGTACAAGTGACACCTAAAACACAATCTTAAAGGCTTGTTGGAATTTAGAGGAAGGACACAGAGGGTTGTCCATTCCAGACAAAGCAAGAGTTTGAGCAAATATTCAGAAGTAGGTGGTGAGGAGAGAGAATTGTCTTTT